GTACTGTTACACACGTACACAAGTACACAGGAGACAGTACTGTTACACAGGTACACAAGAGACAGTACTGTTACACACGTATACCAGTACACAAGAGACAGTACTGTTACACACATATACCAGTACACAAGAGACAGTACTGTTACACACGTACACCAGTACACAAGAGACAGTACTGTTACACATGTACACCAGTACACAAGAGATAGTACTGTTATACACGTACACCAGTACACAAGAGATAGTACTGTTACACACGTACACCAGTACACAAGAGATAGTACTGTTACACACGTACACCAGTACACAGGAGATAGTACTGTTACACACGTACACCAGTACACAGGAGATAGTACTGTTACACACGTACACAAGTACACAGGAGACAGTACTGTTACACACGTACTTCTGTAATAGTTGGCTTTGTGGAAGTAATTCTCAATGAAGGCACAAAAAGGCAAACTAATGGAGCTGAAAATGAACCTGAGATCTCGTTCCATCACTTTGTGGTAACGGGACCTCAGGTGAAAAAAGACATGAAGATCGTCTCATGTTCTAGAAAGGAAACCGTCTGACTTTGTATTTTCACAGAGAACACTGGCAGTCATCTAAATATGTTATGTATAATATATTGTACATTTTGTGAGTGGTGAAAAAAGTGTCTTAATGTTGAGACTGTTCAGGAGTTCTGAACAAAGCTAGTGTTTATAAATAGTAATATTTTGGTATTTTTACTATCAAATGTCAAAGTCATTTCAATCTGTAGGTTGTTGCTCGGTCTTGTTGACTAACAGACAATCAGGACAAACCATAACAATTAACCGTTATTATCTTCACACTGCCCGATAAAGAGTTTTTATCTGTTATATTTATCAAATGTTTTATTACATATTATTGTAGCACTTTCGGATTTCTGTGGAGTGCTCTTATATTGATGTTGAGTTCTGCTATTTTCAGCCACTGTTCTAATGTATTATTGAAATGATTCAGTTATGCAGAATGTACGCTGTAGCAGCTCACTCTACACAGAATATAGTGACAGACACACAGCTCACCGATGTCGTTGGTCTTCCTAGGAACAAGCCGCCGTTCCAGGCGGACCATCTTGATAGCGTCCAGGCGGATCTCAAAGATGTTGTTGATGAGAGCCAGCAGGGGGGCGAGGGGGAACGCTGCCACAAATATGGTGGTGAAACTGAACTGGACCACTAGAGGGGATGCACAGTGATTTAGTAACATGGAAACGTAATTATGTTAAGCACTTTCATTAAAGATACAGCGTTTAGGTTTGTGCAATAAGCTTTAGGAGTACATTCAACAAGTTATGAGAAATGATAGATAGATAGATAGATATGTACTTTATTCATCCCCAGGGGGAAATTTGTATGTTACAGCAGCAAGACATAACAAGTAGGCAAAGTAACAGAGTAACCAAAAATATTAAGTATTTAAAAAATGCACAATATATACAATAGAATAACAGAGTAGGACAAATTAAGTATCAGAATATAGAAGATAAAATAACAAAAATGCACAGTATATAGAACTAGAAAATTTCGCAAGAAATTTTGACAGTGTGGCTTCTACTGCCCGAAGACGTCGTAATATATAGTTACACACGCCGATGTTACCGGTAGTATCGTTGAGGTTCAATTGAGATATCGCTTCTCTCTTTTCTGCATTTTAGATTCATACTCTTGGATTGAATCTTGTATTTGTGATGGACAGTCCACAAATGGCTCCCGTCATTTCTGTACTGGACATGTACATCTTTGTTTGAGAAGCCTTTGGAAATGATGGGAGCTAACGCTCCCATCATTTCCATTTTCATTTCTGTATTCGAGATATAAACCTTTGTTTGAGAAGTTCTGTTCAAACCTCATTCTGAGCTTCATGTTAAGATACAGTTACTCTATGGGGCTTTTATTTTGAAAGGGTGGGACCGGGTGGGTGAGAGAGGGGGAGAGGAGACATATTCATAATGTTTGACACAAACACAGAGGTTATTAAATGACAGACTTCATCACAAGCATTCCAGTTAGAATTCACTCT